TGCAATTGTAGAATTTCTGGTTTAGGTTGTGAACGGGAGGTGAAGTTAAAATTAATTCTTAGTCGGTGGTTGTGTCACATCAGGTTTGTTATCCTTGGTTAGTTGTGGCAGTGTGGGAAAGGGCAAGTGGGGGGGGGGGGTAAACAAACTACGCTGGTTGACTTTGATTGTTCATAACCTTGAAATGAATAAACAAAAATTTACCAACCCAGCTATTTTTCTGAAATTTAACAGGATTAATTGTCTCCTATCATTTCCCCTGAGGATTGACGTATCCACTACCACCTCTTTCTCAATAATGAAAAAAAGAACGTGTTAAAAAGCTTTTTTACCTCTTTCAGCGATAATGGTTTCGATGAAAGAAGTTGTTAAATTTTTGCTGGTTTCATCGCCAATTTGCCAACTTAGGCCCAAAACTCGAGATGGCCATGAAAAATGTAAACATACAACGTCATGACAGGCTATTTGAAGGGGAACTATCGCTAAAAGAATAAAAATTACAGATTGCCTCCCCATAAGCGGAGGCTTATCTGTTCATTTTTATTGTTGTTCTTGAAACATCTAAAGACTTTCATGTGGTAAATTCCGTCGTGATTTGTTTATTTACTGCCCACGTGGCTTCTGTGGGAGCAGAAGCGAGTGCCCGCTCTAGAAGTGTGCAGTTTATGGGCGTTCGAAGAGATTTGAGTGATTATGGTTTAGTGTCAATACCAAATTCCTATCAGCTACTGGACATACATAAGGCAATGTCGCACCTGCAGAGTGGGTTTTAAATTTCCAAGAAACTGACCAGTCGCTTTGAACTTCTCCAAACCAGGAAGACACACCAATTTCATACCCTTGTCGCATTCCAGAGGTAAAAGATGAAAGGTGGTTGTAGGAACCTTTAATTCTGCCCATTGAGCTTCATCGCCTAGTGGCTTTATCTCCCTATACCGTACGGTGATCTTCGTTATGGTGCATATTTCTTTTCTACTCCACGTTACATTGACTTTGCAACCATGTATTTCCGACTCTTTGTTGTTTATCACGGGTGTAAATGGTTTGCCTTTAAATAATGATAATAATACTATGATTATTTAGTGATTTCCACCGATGTTTTTGCAGTGATAGATGAATGTAGGATGGTACACTACGAAACCTACAAAACTATCTAACAACTTATTAAACTCGAACAATTAACAACCAGCTCACCGACGCCATCTTAGTAACCGAGATAATTATGCGCATGCGTTCGTTGAGTCTTTTAAAAAGAGTTCTTGGTTAATTCCTGCGAGACTGAGGTCCCTTGAATGTGACAATAAGCACACAAAAAATTGATTTTGTTACTTAAAGTTGAATGTAATTAATTTTTGGAACTTGAGAGTGGGCGCTTATTCGAGGAGGGCGTTTACTCGAAGCTAGGTCCTTACTAAATTTTCACCATTTTCGTGAAGTAAGTTTGGTATGTCTATTTTGGAACAAAACAATAAATGGCAATAACAAAACGCGAAGATGTAACAAAACAAGGTTTCTGTAAAATACTCTGAAGAAAACTCCTTCGGGGAAGTCTCTTATTAGTACTTATTCAATTTCAATTTCAATTTCAATCTCATTGTCACTCAAGTCAGTAAGTGAATTCTCTAGTGCTGCCTCCTCGATGTCCGACATCGTAACGTCGGCAAATGGCAAAATAAAAATAGTGTCCCCAATTAGTACTTTCGTACTAAATATATCAACACTCAAATAATAAAGTGCATTTTTTTAGATATTACTCTTGCCTTTGCTTAAGTCACCAATCTGCTTCACGGATAAAGATATTCCAGTCATATAAAAATCCATGACTGCTCCAACAAACACCTCATTTGCCAATGGCATCTGGACGAAATCTGGATCATTTCCTATGATGTACTCTGGCTGATAACGGCCTAACGATGAGAAGAAATACTCGTTCCATTCGTCCACCAATGCCTCCTCCGTACCATTAACGAACACCTTGATTTTATGCAGCTGACAGGTTACTGATACGTGATTCCAGTAATTGATTTGTAAGTCGAAAGTGTTGTGTATCGATAAAATGAGTCGGGAATTCTTGGCCGTCACGTAAAATAGTTTTCCACCCTTTGACCAAAGTGCCAGTATAGGCCCGTCAACACCAGTATACTTTACCCAAAATGCAATTGTAAAGTCACAAGTTGTTATGTTAATGTTGGGAACAGTAGCATAGGAACCATTCTGACTGAAAGTCGCCGCTTTACTTCCAGGACACCAGCCTTCAGTATGGTTAACGGTACCAAAATACCTGTAAGATCACAAAAACCAATGAATAGAATTTAGCTAGAAAATAATTACCTGTCATAGGAAAATTCAAGCCACTATTTTACCCTCTACTCCTACGTTATAAGACAAAAATTTAACCAGTTAACGCTATGAGTGTAATGCCACCTGCAGCAGTCGGAAAGGCAAACGCACAAGTTTGAGGCGATGCTGAAACCTGGATGTCATCAAGAGAGAATGGTCAATTGTCAGCGAACCTGGGTTTTATCCCCAGCAAGAAACAGTTCAAATGGAATGGCAGTCTGGCAAGCCTAAAAGAATTTTGGATTTCTGAACTGGAAGATGGAAATGCGAATAGTTTGGTGAATATCAACTCAAATGCTAACTCTGAGGTGTTGAAGTTTGAATCTGCAACGGTTAATTTTTACACCAGCACCAAAACCTTGCAAATACAAGGTGCATCGAAGGATTATTATGTCGAAAAGTTACTGTATATCGTTGAAAAACTAAATACAACTATTGAAGAAGATCGAAACGCTGAAAATGTTTTATCGACGCCCAACGCTTTAAATTCGGAAACAGAAACAGCTACAATGGCGGGTCCCAATTCAGCACATGACGATCGCTATGAAGAATTCAAATCGTTTATGAAAATGCAACTTGAGTTTAATAAGAAACTTGAGAGCCTCATCACAACAAACTCCATTGGGATCAACGAGCAGGTCATTGAGCTGAAAGATATGGAACAAAAATGCAAAAATCAATCGAGGGAGGTTAATCTGGCATGTGACAGCAGCATACATGCGATGAAGATTGAACTTGGCGGCGAGATACAAAAACTTGTTAAGCAAATCTCAAATCTGAGCACTAAGTTATTAGCCGAACTAAAAGCTCTAAAAACCAGAACCAAGTCGACCGAAGACTCAGTAAACCACATTGTACAACAACTGGGTGAGATAAAAAACCAAGTTTGCGTTTCTGAGGAATCATTGATTTCTCATATGCATGACGCAAGTCGCCAAGATTCTCAATCACAAACAGAATCTAATGAGCGCACGTTCGCCGAAGTTACAGCAAACAACGTTGACTTCCAGACTCTCCATAGGACTGCAACTGAAGAAATCATAGCAGAGGCAAGGGATCAGACTTTCACCGTGAATACACACAACAGATTTGCAGTACTTGACCCTCAGTTTCCAGAGAGACAAACACAGGTGTTTAATGAACAATCTACACAACCGGTATCTACAGCTA